GTGAACAACTATTCTAGTTTCTGGAATTTGACTGGGTAGAAACTTGTCGTCCAGTTCAAATTGAGAAACATAGAATTCTTTAGATACATCCTCTTGGTTTGTGGTAGATGGTATGATGGACGGTACCTCTGAAATAGTTTTCTGGTAGTTGTATGTATCATTGTTAGCATGGTAACTTAATGTTAGAAAAAAGATTAAATACATATAAGTAGCTAGTATACATTACAGAAAATGCAGATTAACTAAGCAGAATACATGTAAATACAGTTGAAATAAAAATAAATACGGCAATTTAAAGTGATATTACAGATTAAGTGTAACACGGTTATGAATACATCTAAAAAAATATGCTCAATATGTTAAGATTTAAAAGTCAGAATACATATATATAAAGCTGAATAACAGTTAAATACATCAGTAAAATGGCTAGATTAAAACATATATGAATACAGCTAAATACATATGTTCAATATGATAACTGCTTTTATACTTCATGATTATCTCCGACATATGTGTCAATGCCACTATCATGTCTCACTATGGGTTCAGTTTGCTGATTTTATTGAAGATGGTCTGAAAGCATCTTGAAGTTATCATTGATCAATGTTCTTAGAGACTTGAACTCTCCAACAACCTTAACAATACAATATAGTTAGAAAAATACTAAAACACATAGATATCAAACTTTATTGATTAATCGGTGGGTAAATACTCACGTATTCTTTGAATGATTTTAGGTCTTTCCTCAAAGAAGATACTTTCTCATTTTGGCCTTCTGGGAGCTGATGGTCATGCACAAGTTTATGTCCAATGTCAGAAACACAAACAAGACTTTGGGCTGATATTCTGGTTCTTTTATAGGAATCTTGGGCTGTTCCTTGACCTTCTTATGTGGCGGTGATGAAGATGGACCAACACTTTCAACATGTTTCTTCTTAGATTGAAGATTGGGTGTAGGAGAAAAGTCATCCGTATCCTGTCCCGATTTGTCTGAATGCGCAGGATTAGGTATTTTCTCAATATTGGCGCACACTTGAGAAATCTGAATAACAGCAAGCTCTATATCTAGAGGAGTGATGTCCTTGAACACAATATGTGAAAAAAATAAGATATGACTTACAAAAAACATATTAATGCATAACTGTATAATGCTATATTCAGGTGTATTTAACTCTGTTGTATTTAGAATGTATTAAAATGTATTAATATGTATGCAAATATTCATGTATATAAGCTTATGAATCCAATGTATATTACAGTAGGCTTCCCCTCTAACTGAATGCAAATGTATGCAAATTATAGATGTATTTGTGTTCAATTATCTTCAGAATATTGATAACATTTGTATATTACCGTGTTTCCGGTGTCTTTGAACATGCCGTTCGTCAGATAAGAAAATGTTGGCTGATTTCCGGTGGTTCTCCAATTGAGTATTCTGGGGACCACGTCGCAGACTCGGACTGCAATTTTGGAATCAACAGAAGAACAACACTCATAAAACCACACCTGCATAGCTAGGGGCATCCCAGCTATCCTGTAATACTTCTTCAAAGCATCCATCTTCTTGCTAATCGAGTTTATCAACAGCTCAAATGCTTTAATACCCCAATGATATTCAGAATAGCGCCCACTCTCTACTAAGTCAAAATCTAGCCTCGGTATAGTTGCACTATTCTTCTCAGATGAAAATATAAAGGTGTGGATGAAATACAACAAAGATATCTTCAAAGCATCCTCATCATTGTCGGGGCCCCATGCCTTGTCATTGAAGCATTGTCTCAAGTGTTTCTTCTTTACAATATTAGCACTTCCAAAATAAGTCGCAATAAGCCGGTTAGGAGGAGTTTCACTAAACTCAAAATCTTCATCTTTACCTACACATTTGAGGCCAGTCACAAGCGCAAACTCCCTTAATGTGAAATGTAATTCAGTACCATTGACGTATACTGCAAATACATTGTTTGGAGTGCCGTTTAACTGTCGAGCCATGAAGCATCTGAAGAGTTGATGTTGAACATCAAATCGCTTCATTTGAAGAAATGAGGAATGAGCCAAAGCATGTATTGCCGAATTGTTGGAACTGATCGGGAGTAAGCTTATCTTTTAGCTGGGATACTATATCAGTGTTAGTGTAACTACTAATATGGGGTGCTAATTTTGGCTGGTGTTTCACAAACAAATCAATTCCCTGCAATGAACATTGAAAGATACATGTTAATACAAATGAATACATTGCAAAAATACATATTAAGTTTTTTTGGAATACATGTAGGACATGATACAATGACAAGGCTAAATGCATGTCAGACAACTACAAACACTTACAAAAGACTAGATACAATGACAAGGCTAAATATATGCTAACATACTTTGTAACATACAGATATAATACAAAATATTTAAGATGAATACACCTGAATACATATGAATGCATATGAATACATTTGAGGTCAAACTGGACAATTGAATTATCGCAAATATACATTAGCAAACGCTAAATACACATGAATACATATGAATACAGGTAAAATTACATTAAATATGAACTGTTGGAAACAACCAAATACACATGAATACATAAATNCATTGAAAGATACATGTTAATACAGATGAATACATTGCAAAAATACATATTAAGATTTTTTGGAATACATGTAAGACATGATACAGTGACAAAGCCAAATGCATGTCAGACAACTACAAACACTTACAGAAGACTAGATACAGTGACAAGGCTAAATATATGCTAACATACTTTGTAACATACAGATATAATACAAAATATTTAAGATGAATACACCTGAATACATATGAATGCATATGAATACATTTGAGGTCAAACTGGACAATTGAATTATCGCAAATATACATTAGCAAACGCTAAATACACATGAATACATATGAATACAGGTAAGATTACATTAAAAATGAACTGTTGGAAACAACCAAATACATATGAATACATAAACATACTATAGAAGAAACAGAATACACTATACAAAAAGGTACAAAAATACAAGAAGATAGATATGAATACAACAGAATACATGTAACAAATACCAATTACCTTTTGGTTTCTTGAATCTTTCATAGGTTTTTTCCTCTTTGAGCCAACTTGATTTTTGGTTTCTTTTGAAGCTTCATCAACTTGGACTTCTTTCAACTTGTCATTGTGTAATTTACTTCTTCTTTCATCAACTTTGGATGCTGATAAACCTGCAAAATCTTTCTCCGCTTGAGTCAGTTGCAACGAGAAAGAGGGCCCATCAAAATTGAGAATTTTGGTGGGTATACCTCTGGGTAGTCTGTTGAGTGGCGTTGCATCCGACATTAGAGAGAAAACTAAAAGAATCCTGGTGATTAACAATTCAAATGGAAGATATATCAGAAAATTGTGTAAATTCTCTAAAAAAACTTATAGAAACAAACTAATGAAAAAGCAATTTCGAAGTAGTTGAATTACCTACGGGGAGAAGATTTCCAAAATACAACTGTGAAGCTCTAAAAAACACTTGAGAACCAACTTGCCCGTCAAAATACGCTTGAGAACAGTTGCGAAGAAGAATGACGTGTGGGGTGATAATGGCGGAGAAGTATAGGCGATAATGGCGGAGGAGGGTTTTTGAAGTATATGGAACGTGTGTTTATGGGAGAAGAGGGAAAAGTGTATTGAAGAAGAGAGAGAAAAGCTGATGAGAGGAAATATACGCTAATTAGGTGAGAGAAAATAAAAAAAATGAGATAGAAAAATATTTTGTAGCATATATTAAGCCTTAATTTTAGGATGGAACTAAATTTAAATTTTTTGCTATAAACTAAAAAGGGTATTTATAGAATGTAATATTTTAAAAGGGTATTTATAGAATATAAATAGGGTACTAACCTATTCTATAGGTGGTAAAATTCCCTATATTAAAAGGAGAATAGTGAAGCATGTGGTTAAGTCAAGTGGCAAGCTAAAAAGATATCAAAAAATATATATTTGCTAACTAATTTAGAAAGAAAGATATCAAAAAATAAAATAATTCAACCAATAGATTAAGCTATATATATTATTATTCTCTTATAGAAATTTTAATTATAAAATAAAACTTATAATTCTAATTTGAAAATAAAAGGAAAAAAATAATTTTGTTTTACGTATAACAGAAAATAATTGGTTGATTTTTTAAATAAATAATAAAAGGCTTCTCTATTAAAGTATTTATATCTAAACACTTAAATCAAATAATGAAAAAAAACAAAAAATGAAAAAGAAATAGGAAAATACAAAAATATTGGCGTATGGATTCGAACCTTGTACCTTAAGGACAAAACCAACTTCATAACTACCCTTCAACCATCAGGCCACCTAGTCGTTTCATGTATAATGTGGTGATTTCATGCATTATATATATATAACGCAGTTAATACATGCGCTATACATATAGAACCGCGCTATACTTTAACTATCTATCTATCTATTGTCATTTATCTATTTATCTATCTATTGTCTTTTGCTTATGTACATTTTTGAAGAAATGAATTAGTGTTTGTGGTCTATGTAAAGTTACCCAACAACCAATACTTTGTTTCCAAAAGTGCATAATTTGTTAAAAGGGCAAACAACTGAAGCTCTGAAATTTGCGAATACATTGGTCTTAAAGCTCTAACATTTGCTAACAAGTGAAGGAACAAATAGAACAACAAAACACAAAACCAAAATTAGCAAGTTGTTTCGAGAGCGCATATTCTGTTTCTATTGAAATAAATCAGCGAAAGAAGTGCACTTTAACAGCTAAATTTTCTAACAACTTTTAGAACACCAAAATCAGCAAGCTAAATATTAAAGGGCAGTTGCCTCCAAAATAAGATGGTCTGAACATTGATTTCTTAAGTTTGCAATCTCAAAAAATATAGTTGTATACGGTCAAAATCAAGGAGCCCAATTTCGAAGTCTTAAATTGGGCTATGAGTTCGAGTCCGGGCGACTCGAAGTGGGGGTCGGACCCGACTGAAGGACACACACCTCGAGGGAGCAAATTGAATGCCTGGCACGACCTACATCGAGGGCAGTACAATTTCAACGACACTTAAGAAAGTGCGGGAATTTCTCAAGGACACGTGGATCAAAGCATGAATTAAAGGATAAAATTTGTACGAGCTGGTACAGGTCCATACTAGGCTGTTATATAGCTATACCAATAGAATTCTTTGCCACAATTAGGAATGTACTATATTGGGTTTTTCTCCCCTTATATAAAGGGACCCCAATCATTTGTAAAAATAATCTCATTCACTGCAATAGAATATTCTACTCTGCTTTTTTCATTTACCGTGCTCAACAATTGTTCTTCAGCTTTATCGTTTTTTACTTTATTGTTCATACTTTATTGTTCTTAGCTCACCTCGAGGCCCCTGAGATAATCAAGCTCGAGGCCCCTATTGCTCTAACAATATTGGTTTGGTTCATCAATCCTTCTTACTTAAACCTAATATTACTTGTATATTCACTAGTATTGGAATAAATCACATATGTTTAAAACCACAAATTATCTTTAATTTTTACTCACATTTTTCGAGGTAAACAGTTTGGCACCCACCGTGGGGCTAAAGATAATAATGATTATTTTAGTGCTAGTTTTCTGATAACACATGTTATTCTTCATACTTTTTCTTGTCAAAGATTCTTTGATTTCAGGCTTAAACATGTCTAGCACACAGAATGCACCTATTCATAAGGACGAAGGTCTTGGAGAAAACATCGGTATAGGGGTCAGTGTACTACCCATAAACCCTGAGGAAGTGCCAACTATGGAGCCGGTGGATATCAGTTCGCATAACGCTCTAAATGCGGATTCAGTTGTAGACCCCGTAGGGAATGCGCATAGGGAAGCCTGACCCGATGGCCAAAAAACACGAGGAATGGAAGAAGGAGGAGTCAGTCTTCAGGTGATATTCAAAATGTTACAAACCCAACAAGTCGCCATCGCTCAACTTCAGAGTCAGAACAGAACTCCAAACACAGTCGAACCAGTGAACACTCGGCGTGCTGAACCAGCGCTAGAGAGGCCTGATGAAAATGGCTCGGGGACTGACCCCATGATTATGAAAATGCTCGAAGAGCTCTCCAAAAGGATCGAGACCGAGAAAAGAAGATTGAAGAAAATGACAAAAAGGTGGAGACATATAACTCAAAGGTCGACATAATGGGAGCACCTCCGATTTTGAAAGGACTGGACTCGAAGAGGTTCGTGCAAAAACCATTCCCCCATAGTGAGGCTCCGAAGCCCATCCCGAAGAAGTTTCGGATGCCAAATATCCCGAATTATAATGGAACCACTGATCCCAACGAGCACATCACCACATATACTTGTGGCATAAAAGGAAATGATTTGGAAGACGATGAGATCGAATCAGTTTTGCTAAAAAAGTTTGGGGAAACTCTATCTAAAGGTGCCATGATTTGGTACCATAAACTACCCCCGAACTCTATCGATTCGTTCGCCATGTTGGCAGACTCATTTGTGAAGGCACATGCCCGTGCCATAAAAGCTGCAACAAGGAAGTCCGAACTATTCAAAATAAAGCAAAGGGAGAACGAGATGCTGAGGGAGTTTGTATCCCTTTTCCAATTAGAACGGATGGAGTTAGCACCAATCTCCGATGACTGGGCCATACAAACCTTCACTCAAGGGCTAAATGAACGAAGTTCGATAGCTTCGAAGTAGCTGAAACAGAACTTGGTCGAGTATCTCACTGTGACTTGGGCGGATGTGCATAACAGGTACTAATAAAAAATTAGGATGAACAGTTGGGAGCCCCCTTGGGCTCAGTTTATCCAAGCAGGTTACTAGCAAGTGAGTCAGGAAATGTGGACAGGGGTTCAAGATCGAATAAGGAAAGATATCAGCCATACGTCGAGGATTGAAGAAACATTTCAAGGCGTAACATACCTCGGAATGATCGAAGAGCAGATCGAGGTCAAAGTTCCCGGGGACTTATGAGCAAAATCGGGTTTGATAGGCACTTGGGACTGGCAGAGGCACCCCGATTATCGAAGTACAACTTTAGCGTCGATACCTCGGGGATCGTCTCAGCCATTGACAAAATTAGAGATACTAGATAGCCCAAGCCTATACAGACGGAGGAACCCCAACTTGATGTGCAAATATCATGGTACTCATGGGCACATGACCGAAGATTGCAGGCAACTTAGAGAGGAGGTAGACCTGTTGTTCAATGAAGGGCATCTTCGTGAATATCTTAGTGACCGGGCCAAGAACCATTTTCGAGAAAGAGATGCGAACAGGAAGAATGAGCCCGAAGAACCTCAACATGTCATTCACATTATCATTGGAGGAGTCGACGTCCTACAGGGACCTATATTCAAACGTACCAAAGTTTCCATCATAAGGGATAAACGGACTCGGGACTACATGCTCGAGGACACCCTCACATTCAGCAAGGAAAACATCGAGGCCTTATCTCAGCCTCATAATGATGTACTGGTAATTTCTATCCTTTTAAATAAAGTTCAAGTTAAATGTGTTCTTATGGATCCAGGTAGCTCAGCAAATATAATCAGATCAAGGGTCGTGGAGCAGCTCGGGTTGCTTGACCAAATCATACCTCCCTCTCGAGTCTTGAATGGATTCAACATGGCAAATGAAACGACGAAGGGGGAAATCATCCTCCCAGTCAACATGGCTAGAACCATACAAGACACCAAGTTTCATGTCATCGAAGGAGATATGAGGTATAATGCTTTACTTGGAAGGCCGTGGATCTATAGTATGAGGGCAATGCCATCAGCCCTTCATCAAATGATGAAGTTCCCAAAAAAGGATAGCGTTAAAACATTATATGGAGAGCAGCATGCAACTAAGGAGATGTTTGCAGTACACGACTTGGCACCGGTATCAACACCATCCACATCAGAGAAGTCAAAGGAAAAACAGGTTGCCAAATAACAATCACAACCCATACCCTTAGTTGAGCCCGAGGGATAGGTAATCGACGAACAGGTGGTCGAGGACGAAGAAGAAGATTTCCTTACCCCCCGAGCCTTCGTCTCCCCCGAGTAATCGAATACGACGAAGTCCATGGTCGAAGAACTCGAGCAGGCCATATTGATTGAGCATCTTCCAGAACGAAAGGTATACCTGGGGACGAGGTTAACCCCCAAACTCAAGAAAAAACTCATTCAATTTCTTATCAATAACATTGATTGCTTTTCCTTGTCCCACTTAGATATGACAGGGATCCCATCGGATATAACTACCCATCGACTAAGTGTCGATCGTAGATTTAAGCTGGTTAAACAAAAGAGGAGACCTCAGTCTGAGGTAAAACATGCATTCATCAAAGAAGAGGTATCCAAACTTCTTAAGATAGGATCCATTAGGGAAGTAAAATATCCCGAATAGCTAGATAACGTAGTGGTAGTCCATAAAAAGGGGAATTAACTTAGAATATGTGTAGACTACAAAGATTTGAACAAAGCATGCCCTAAAGATTTTTTCCTATTGCCCAACATCGGTCGTTTGATCGATGCTACGGCCGACCACGAGATCCTTACT